CGCCTGATTTAAATGTCACACCTGAACGCTCACATCCTTTTAATTATGTTTGAAATTATGAACATTGCTCAACATCATGAAAATTAAACCTTATTTTCAATAAAAAAAAGTTAAGCACCCCCAAATATTTTTCAGGATTGCCCAGGTGTATATATGTGCACAATTTTTATTCGGTATTAGATTATTTCAAGACTAAAGAAAATAAGAATGTAAGTGAATTATTTCGGTATTAAATGGTTACACTACTCTCTAACTTGGACTTCGACGCCTCTTCTCTTACAGTTGGCATCGACGTACTTGATGAGATTGATAGTTGAAACAATCAAGTGATAAGCAACTATACCAAAAGTTTGAAAGAATTTTTTTTTTCTGTAGCATACATATATTTGTAATTCACAGCAAAGGAACAGTCGATAATAGTTTAGTAAACTACTTAAAATACAGACCGTCATATTTTAAAAATTACGTCTGTGACTGTATTTAAGTGTACTATCGAGGACTTCAAACACTAGGGGATTCGGGGGGGGGGGCTCTTTTCATAATTTTGCGCTCTTACGCTGTAAAGTGCACCCTTTTTTAACAATAACTAATTTCAATAAAAAATATTTCCTGCCTCTCCTAGCTACAGGCCAATAATTTTAGTGTTTTAAAATCAAATAATTTATGTTCATGTTTGCTCTAGAGAATTACTGGTGATTTTCAATAAATCTGTCAATAAACTTTATACCATGCCTTGTAAAAAATTGTAAAGACCTAAAAACATTTTAGACGTAATACGGGAATACGGAATTAAACTAATACAACTGGTTCGATGTAGGATAATATGCAATAAAAATGTAACTTTCAAATAGCTCCAGACATATGTTAATGTCAGATCATATATTGTTTGTCTATAAGTGTGGACAACTGGGAGGAAAGCAACTTATATAAGTAAGATTACCCAAAATATCTTGATAAAATGTGCTGGCTCTGTTAGGTGCGGAAAATATGTGATAGATTGTCTGAAGCTCGTTTTTTCTCGATGTTAGCAGACGAAATGACCGATGTTTCAAAGTAGGAACAACTAAGTATTTGTGTACGATACATCTTTGATGAAATAATACGAAAACACTTCTTAGGGTTTGTTGTTGTGAATCTTTAGCTGAGTCAATAAAGAAGTTTTGAAATAGTCATGGAATCAACATGGAAGGTCTGGTAGGATTAGCAGCAATGAGAGGACAGTTTCGAGGTGTTCAGACTGTCATCAACCAAAAAAAAAAAAAAACCAACATCATCCATCTGCGTTATATATGCATTGTGCTAGTCATTGTCTCAACCTTACGTTGGTTGCTGCTTGCTTTATACCCGCTTTACGAAATGCATTGGCGTATTATTTGGAGTTATTAATTTCATCAACCACTTGCCAAAAAAGAGTTGGTATTTTAAACAAGCTAACAGATATGTTAAATTTGATGGATACAAAAATGCGTCTTTTGAAAACATTCTGTCAAACAAGATGGGCTAAATGGAATGATAGCGTCTTAACCCCTTCTGTCAGCAATTGCCTGGAATCAACTGCACATTGAAATTTTGCTCAAGTCTTTCAGATATCGTGGTTTGTACGAAGGCTGAAATTCTTCTACAAGCCATCAGCGAGCCAGAATTCGTAGTTGCATCTTATGGTTTGAAAGAGACATTATCAGTAACTGAACAACTTTCACTTCAGCTCCAGGCAGTTCAACAAGACTTGTACACAATTCTTGCATGTAATTATGTCGAGTTAGATCTCCTTAAGTGAAAACGCGAAAGCGTGTCAGAACGATTCTCTGAAATCTGGAAGGTAGCTGAGTGACAATAGATTAACTAGATTTGCTTTATTGGCTACTCTCAAATACATTAAAGTTACAGCAGATGAGTTTTTAGATAAATTTGCTATAACGAGCACTAGTAAGGTCAGAATTGTTTTGTAAGCCTTACGTAATTGCTACTCTTAGCTTTTTTTTTGACATACGATTGATGAAGAGGAATTGTTTACAAAGTTTCAGGTGTTTTTAATTATTTAGTCTATTTTATTTGTATTGTGTCAATAAATGATTCATTTGGATACTATGTATATTGTATATGTTTTGCAGTTTGCACTTTTCCTTTCGTTAACATCGCATATACAGAAGATTTCCTATCACGACTCATATATCAGGTCATCCTATAAGTTCTGTCCGGATTTTAAATAAAGAAAACGAGTGATCAAATCTTACATTTTATTGAAATTTAATCATCAATGTAGTTTTAATGATTATCTATGACTTCTTTCCATCTACTTACAAGCTTTTTAATCCCACTACTAAAAAACTCTTTCGGTTTCGAAGAGAAGAACTCTGAAATGTCAGTTTCGACCTCCTCATGGCTTGTGTGAGTTAATCCATCCAAATGATTCAGTAAACTACGGAACAAATGGTAGTCTGAAGGAGCAAGGTCGGGAGAATAAGGCGGATGATGAATTTTCTCCCAACCAAGTTCTTCAATCTTCTGGGATGTGATTTTTGCAGTGTGGGGTCGTGCATTGTCCTGATGAAACACCACTCCTCTTCGATTCACTAAACAGGTCTTTTTGTTCTTTAAAGCCGCGTTCAAACGCTCTAATTGCTGACAATAGACTTGAGCATTGATTGTCTCATTAGTTGGCAGCAACTCAAATGAATAATTCCTTTGCAATCCCACCAGATAGAAAGAAGAACCTTCTTCGCATGAAGTTCCATTTTCGGTTGTGGTTGGGCCTTTTCCCCATTACTAAGCCACTG